GTATATCACAGATGGAAAGTGCAACAGATGGGGAGCAGACACCTGTGTTAAAGTGCTGTGACCTTATTCCGTGACCTTACGTGAGTCACTCAGCCCTCGTGCCTCAGTTTCTCCATTTGTAAAACACCAATTCCTCTGTCATGTGCTTCTAGAGATTTACAAAGAGAGGCACAAAGTATTGTTTTGACATGGAACAGCAAAGGAGGGCAGTGGCTGAGCCAGGACGATGGAGTGGGAGCCACTGGAGCTGTGCTGCTCTGGCCACCACAGGAGCTACGGCCATAAATCGATCAGCCCCGATTAGGTCGGGCTTTACAAAGCTGTAATTGTCACAGCAGTGGCTCTGGGACTGTGACATGAGCTCTGAGCTCGGCGGTGTCACACAGGGAGCCTGCACCAAACAACAAACCTCTGCTAAACCCCACCGCAACAGCAAAGAACAGGAGCTGCCCAAACCCAGCAGACTTTTTAAGGTTATCAAGGATAAAAGCTTCTCCACGTGCTCATATAACCACAGGATAATGCTGTGTAAGCGCCCAGTTTAAGAGGGGAAGGATATCATCAAGAGCATGTTTAAAGAAAGGAATATATTCACTTGAAATCTGCAGGCACAACACAAAAATAAATGTGTTTCTCACAGTGACAAGACGAAATTTTCGGTTGGTCAGCGACTACAAAGCTGATTCTCTACCTCTGGCTGTGGACCACATGACAGCCTCAAATACGTAAGAGCATTTTATCTGCCAACTTGCAATGAAGACCACATAGTTAATAGTTTGCAACCTCCTTTCCCCCAGAAGATCTTCAGAGTTGAGTAATAAAATTCCTCACATGATTTCAATGAGAGGGTTCACTTGTCAGGGGCTGTTTGGAGATAGTATCATATGTCAGGGAGGTGCTGCTCAGATCAAGTTTTCCAACCTTGTGTTTTCAAGGCTTGACTAAAAATGAAAAAAAAACCCCAAAAAAAAACTTCACGCTGATATAGTTTGAAACTGGAGAAAAGAGAAATAATCTCTAGCTGTTATTTTCAAAATGTCAAAGCTAGCCAATTAATGAGGGGAGGAAGAAAAACTGATTAAAGCCCTGACAAACCCTTGAGATCACAGACTGATTACGAGTTCTGCTGCAGACTCCTTGTAGGAACCTGGGCAAGTTGATCCCTCTACACCTTTGTTTGCCACCTGCAAGACGAAAAATAGCACTTTCTTTTCATATCCTGTCATTCTTGCTTGTATTGTTCCCCAAATTAAAAGCATTTGTCAAAACACTTATCTCTAGCATTAACCCTGGGAATTGTATTCACAGCTACCACACAACCCGTTTGCATGACTGAGTGTTCAGATACAAACTCTTAATACACTTTGCTACCCGGCCATCCTAATTTAACAGGAGTCAGAAAGGAGCTTTAGTCAATACAGGAATGCTAAAATACAGTTTATTATTAATCTTACAAATAAAACCAGCCTTTAGGGTTATGAGTTACACTGACCCCCCCCCCCAAAAAAAAAAAAAAAAAAAAAATCAAATTCTCCTCATTATGTCCTAAAAATCCTGCTGTAATCACAGTATTGGTCTCACTGCATTGACAACCCACAAGATCATATTATCAGCACAGGTATAATTAAAGCCCAATCCCACGAGGACATGTATGCAGAATCCAATCCCCGCTCTGTTAAAATCAGCATAACGTGAAATAAACTTCGGGGACTTTAGAATCAAAGCTGCATGAAGTTATCGACAGCAGGAACAAAGGCATCTGGTTTTTCTGCAATAAGATTCTTAAGCTGACAGTATTTTGATTTCAAATTTGAAAACTTTGCAGATGAAAAAGATTTGCTACAGATGCCAATACTGTAGCCTGTCATTCTGTAACGTCCTTAAAAGCGCTGCACAGAAATCACTGTGAAGTACAAGTTGCTTTCTTTAGATTAAAATGTGTTGTTGCTTCCTGAAAATCCATTTGTTTTCTAACATATACAACCAAACACCTTCCCAGATCCCTCGGTAAAAGGAACAGTACAGCTTCCTCCTTTCTCATGGTTCACTTTCATTGAAACTCACAATTCTCCACCCAAAGACCCAAATTTCACCCCTGCCCCACTGACACATAACACAGAAAGAGCAGTCCCAAAAGTTAACAACAGAACAATTCTTGACAATCATGCTTAATAAAAATGCATTTTTATTAAAAAGCAGGTTACTATTAAAAATGAATGTCAGAGCCCCACTCTTTTCCCAAATGCAGCAATGAAAAAACATACCAAACACTCCCATGAAGCTATGGATTACCACTATAAAGCAAACACTTCATAATAATTTAGTTTTCAAAACACTGCACAGCTATCAACTTTTAATATCCCTTTGTAAGAGACCAGTAAGACCCACACAGAAACTGCCTTAAAAACAAGCCCCCTGCAGCTGAGAGCAGCTACAGATTCCATGGAATTATCAGAATCACAATACCAGAGAGATGCACGTTGTCCAGAAAGGTCAATAAACCCAAGGAGTCGCTTGACACCGCTCAGTGAAGCGGTTCTAGAGAAAACCAGGCCTCACTCACACAGGATTTTCTCCCAGATTTCCTTACCCCTCCTTAAAAATCCTGCCGTTTCACCTAGGGGAGCATTCCTGTAACCCAGCTGGCAGCCTGCATACCACAATGTCGTCTAGACCTGCTGGGAACAGTGGGATGACACAGGAGGAAAAATGCTGATGCCTGTTCTGGTGCTTGCACTGGTGCTAAGGGAACGAGGGGAGGAAGAACAGGCAGCACCGAGTGAAACACAAGTTCCTTGTTCCCATCCTCCTGCCCAGGCTCCTCGGGTAATTCAACAGAAAAAGTTGTGGCCGTCGCAGGGCTAAAGAATAATCTTCACATAGGGGAAAAAGAACATTCCCAAACCCCAGTTTCCACATGCAGAAACAAACCCTGCCCTTCCCCACACCGGTGCTCCCCGGACATGCAGATAACAAATGCATCCCTGCACAGTGTTTTCCATCCTTTTCTTCCTTCTCCCCTCTCTCCATCTCAGAGATGCTTTCTTAGCAATTTGGAAGAGAAATAGTAAAAAGGGAGATGCAAAACACAGAAATAAATTAAGTTTGCTCTCTGCTGTTGACGGATTTGGTCTTAGCACGACGGGAGGAAAAAAAAATGTTAGGAGTGATAAATCCATATATACCTACTCCAAACTACACCCCGCTTCCCAAGGGACACGGTATAATGGTAAATAAGTATAGATGCAGTTCCTACTAATGAGGCAGGGTACAGCAAGGCCAAAGAAAATGCAATCATCTCGGGGAAAAAAACTGCACAGGACTCCTCCTCTCCCATGCACGGAGGAAATCAAATGCCAGCTGCACCATCCCAGGAAGGAAGCAGAGCCTGTACCTGATGAGCCCTGCAGAAATGAGCGAGTCATATCACGGGACCCGAGCAGGCACTTCAGGCTTTCGCCAGCCCACAAATCGTCTGCAGAGCACAATTCCTCGCTCCGGTATTTTACATGGCATCATTCATGCAAATTGGAGGGGTATTTTTCCCCAGCGTTTTCTTTTTTCCTTCCCTCCATCCCCACTAGTTTGAAGCAGGGGCACAGAGGTAGCGTCTCCCAGATCGGCGTTCCCTGACCATCACTTTAACGCTTTCCTCCCTACAAAGTTTAAATCTCCCCAGGTTTTTTTTTGTTCATAAACGTTCTGTACTTAAAAGCCACCGAATCATGCTCCCAGTGTTACCTGAACAAACTGAGACCCGACTCCACGAACATGCTTAAACCTTCATTTCCTCTTCCTTCTTCCTTCCCCACCCCCCAAAACAGCTTTTTTTTTTTTTTTTGTCCCTAACACGAAAGAACTGGGGAAAAAACAGCACGTCCAACCGAGGCTTTTCCAGAGCTATCGCAAAGAACAAAATGCTTCCGAAGAAGTGCTCTGCAAACATACCAAGAGACACTCCACCAACTAGGGGAAAAAAAAACACACAAAAAAAAATTGAAAGAAAAAAAAGAAAGAACCCATCAGGCAAAACTGAGGTCGAGGAACTCGGCGGGGTCTGGCTCGGGTGTGTATTCTGTACCTAAACACACTCGCATCTTGTTTTGTTTTGAGCTCGAAGCCGAAGCAAACACTCCAGCAGAATGTCCTGCCGCTTCCCCCGACCGCTCCTGCGGTCAAACCGTTCTGACCCAAAACCATCCCGGACACGGGACACACACCAGCATTCACCCGCCGCCCCCGTTCCCCACCTCTTCCCAAGAAGTACAAAACAAACACGCGTCTGACACCCCACCCAAGTTCTCCTCGCACATTTTTGGGAACGACTTCCCTCCGGGTCCTCCTCCTCCCCCACCCGTTCCCACGTTAAACTCTCCAGCACACAGACACCCTTCGGGGGTTTCACGCCTTTAACCTCCCCGAAAACCTCCCGAAGAGGAGATGTGGCAGCCCTGGGAGCCGCCGGGGTTTGGGGCACCCCTGAGCGCCGTTCCCCGACCTCCTCCCGAAAAGGAGCCCCCGGAGCCCTCACACAGCCCCAGCCAGGGCAGAGCTCCCCGGCACAGCGAGGGGGCTCCGTGCCCGGCTTCATCCCCTCAGCTCGGAGCCTTCCTACTTCCCCTGCCGTCCCCGGGGGTCTCCGGGACAGAGAGCACCAGCCCACCCCAAAACTCCGCGGCGAACAACACCCGAAACAGCCGCAAACCGCAGCACCCACCCAGGCTGAGGGGGCTCCGCGGCCGCCCCTCCGTGCCCCACACCCGGGAGACGGGAGGAATCAGAATAAACACACACCAACGGCAGGAACAGCGAACCCCAAAGGTGCCCTGCCCTCCCGCTGCAGCCTCCCGGGGACACCTTCCTCCTCCTCCTCCTCTTCTTCTTCCCCCGATCCGGGGCACCCGCGGAGCCCCCCAAAGCCGCGGCTCCAACTCTGCCGCCCGTGCTGAGGGGCTGCCCCTGCCCACCCTTGCCCGCCCCCGGCTGCCCCCCTCACGCACATCCCGCTCTCCGGCTCGGCGCGACTCCCGGCGGTNGGGACTGGGGGGGCCCCCCCGCCCGCCCCCGCCCCAGATTGAGGGGAGATTAACGGGGGGCGCGGAGGGACGAGAACAATAGGGGGGAGGAAATCCCTCAGCCCCCCCACGCCCCCCGAGGACACAGCCCCCTCCCCGCCCGGCGCTCCTCCTGCCGCTCCCTCCTCCTCGCCCGCTCCCTCTCTTTTTTTTTTGGGCTTTTTTTTTTTTTGGCTCAATCACACCAGACCGACTGTCTTTGTCTGTCTGACAAGCGCCATGTTGATATCAACATCCGAGCCCCCACCTGCTGCAGCTGTGAGACCCTGGGACTTGTAGTTCCCCCCTCCCCAGGGTGACGGGGAGACCCGCGGCGTCGGGACTACAACTCCCAGCGTGCCGCAGGTGCGCGGCGCGCCAATGGGGCGGCGGGGCTGCGCTCGGGGCGGACTACAACTCCCGGCATGCGTCGGGCGGCCATGACGTTATCTAGGGAGGAGGGGAGGCGGGACTACAACGCCCATGATGCCCCGCGGCGCGGCGGGGCGGGCAGGAAGGGGGGCAGGATTGTCCCGGTAAATAGAACCGGGGGACGCGATGAAGCTGGTGAGTGCCCGGGGCGGGCGGCCCTGAGGGCGGGGAGGCGGGCTCGGCCTTCTCTCGGCGACGGGAGGGCTCCCGGAGTCGCCTCCGGGCTGCGCAGTCTCAGCCTCGCCGGGCGTGAGGGGAAACTGAGGCGCTGGAGGGGGGGCCTGAGGGAAAAGGCGGGGAGGAAATGCTGAGGGGATTGGGGGGAACTGAGGGATGAGGGGGTGATAATGGGGCTGAGGGAGGGGCGGGGGTCGGCCCTGAGGTGTGGGGGAAGCGGGGGTCGGCCCTGAGTGGGGAGGGTGAGGGGGGGGCGGTTACCAGGGTTTGAGGTGTGGGATGGGATCAAATCTTAGCCGGATTCTGGAGGAGGGGGAGAAAATGTTTCTCAGCCTTCCTAGCTTTAAACACGAGTCTGGCGTGGAGCTGTCCCCCTGCACGCGTGGCTTCTGCTGGACTTTACGAGGAACGTGAATAAATGCCCGTGGTTTGTGATAAAGATGTTTTCCATCTGCAGCGTGGTAATACAGGGAGATGCTAACAAATAAAAAAAAAAAAAGGCCTGGAACAGCTTTGCCAAGGGTGCACCTTGCTTCTGACAGGGGTTTTGGTTCTGATATTACAGTCTTCTGTCAGAAAGACTATGGTATTGGTCTCCTCTCTTGAACTGTTTCACTTTGCTAGAAAACTTGGATTCAGGAGCCACTTTGTTTTCCAGGAAGAATTTCAGTTTCACATAATGTGCTGCAGTTCTTGGCCTGGAGGTGAAAACCCAAGAAGTTTTCAGCATACCTGAGCATAATATTTGATTTATTTAATCTAAAGTGACACCATTATTCAGTTTAAAACTGTCTCTTGGTTTTGAGACTGAGCAGTGTGTTATAACAAATCTTCATAGAAGTAAATGTTCTGTTTTAAGACTTTTAGGAAACCACTCTCCATGGAAGTGTGTACAATTAATTCCAGAGGCAGGTGGTCAAGGAGCTTGATCCTGCTTCATCTTACCTGTGTGATAAGAGTCTCTGCAGGGATGAATATTACCAGTGGGACAAACACTGCAAAGTCAGGCACCTCTGGGTGTGATTGTAGAGGCTGACAGAATTCAGTGGGGAAAATCAAGCTGGAAAAATCTTTATTTAAAGACCCCAGTGGAAATGCAGAGCTCTTTTAATGTTTAGAGTCTTGCATAGGGACAGAGGGAGGAAAGAGAAGGGAAATATAAACTGTCTGGGGACTCTACTGGAGCCTTTTTAGTCCTGTTTTTAAATTCAGGTGCTGAGAATTATGAGATTCTTCACCTTATATTTCTCTGGAGATGTGTCTGAATTTGGGGTTGTGAGGAGAGGAGCCAGATGCTTTTTATCCTCTTTTCTCATAGATTTGGGTTGAATTTGGAAGAACAGGGTAGAGGTGAAGCACTAGTGGAATGTTCCCTGTCCATGGCAGAGGGGTTGGGATTAGATGAGCTTCAAGGTCCCTTCCAACCCAAACCATCCTGGGATTCTGCCTCCGGGTCTGATTCAGAATCCAGTGAAAACCTCAGACTCCCACAAACTCCAGTGTGCTTGGACTCAGGCAAGCCTCAGTGCTCATTTTTCCCCCCAGATTTGAAGCTGAGCATGTGATACTAATACTGGAGGAATGCACTGCAGAATTTGTTGGCTTCACTTGGAATTCCAGGCTCTGCCTTTAACCTGCACAACTCTGAAAGTTTTGGAGCTGCAAGTTTGAGGCACCATCTCTCTCCTCTGTCCCTGTGCCCTCCAGGAGATGCTCATGGAATGTGGGATGTCTGTGGAGAGCCTGCCTCTCCCAGGCCCTGAGCACCTGGAATCAGCCCCTTAACTTGGGCTCTTTGTGCCCCACTGCCAAACTTTCATCCAATTTGTAAATCCTGCCAGGAAAGCTGTGAGCTGGGCTGGGCATATTTATGCTTTTGTGTGTTTTGTGTCATTTTTTACTTTGTGGCTTTTGGAGTTTGGACATGAGGCACCTTTGTGTGTTGGCTGCACCAGCCTTTAGCCATAAGGGCATCAAGCTAGAAACAAGCAAATCTTGGAACAAAAAACTTGGATTTTTGTCCAGTCAGGAGCATGAGTGAAAGCTCTGGATCTGTTTTAAACAGTAACAAATATAAACTGTGTGGAATTTATCACATTTATAATGTGTATAGGGACACACATAGTGCAAACACTTCTATTGTGGATTCCAAATCCAAAATTCTAAGAGAGGTGCAGGCCTAGCAATGTCACCAGTGCAAACAGCTGTATAGAAAATACAGATTGCCTTTTTTATTTTTCTGTCACTTTGCTTGAATCTGGTAGAAAGAATCCATTGACTCCCAGGAATCCATTTACCTCAGCGTGACAGCCACAGAGAGAGATGATTTTAGCTGCTTTTAAAGAAGGAAGAAAGGAAGATTTGCCAGTTAGGTCCTGGATGTCAGGGTTGTGATACTAATCATGATTACAAAAAAAGGCAAGAAAATGTTTTGCTGATAAAAGTGGTGATATTTCATTGCCTTTTTTAATTACCAATAGTTTTAAAGCTACAAAAATAGAACTTATTTTTCCCTTCATTTCTTTCTATTTACTTCAATTTATAGCTTCATTTGTCAAAGTTCTGGTCTGGTGAGAACTTAATTTCACATGAGGCTGTTACATTTGTGAATAAACCAAGTGAATTCCTCACTCCTTCACCACCTTGGCTTTAGGTATTTTTTTAAACTTTACTAAAAGAAAGACAAAATGTGATGTAACTCCTTAATAATTAAGGCTTTGTGAATTTAAAACAAAACTCTCTGTGATATTTTAAATTTAATATTTGAGGCTTAGTGGGTTTTACTATTTAAATAGAGTTTAAAGCAGGTTTTTGAGGAATGTATGTAAATAGACTTCTTGAGGGCTGTTAATCCAGACAGTTGCAGTCCTGTGTTAACATTGTTGTGAGCAGAGGCAAAAAACGAAATTATTCATCTCCCTTTTTTCCACTTGGTAGAGGGAAGTATAGCACACAAGCTTAAGGGATAAATGACTTAGAAAAAGACCAAATCTGTTTTTAGTGCAGTGCACGGCCAAACAAGTGGTATTTTTCATCTGCATTGACAAAAACTTGAATTTAAAAGCTCCAATTTCGCCACCTGAGCGTGGCTGTGCTGCCAGATGGGAGAGTGGAGATGCAAAAATCGCTCCTCGGAGCAGAGGAACCCTCCCGCAGAGGTGGCCACGCTCTGCTCGGACCTTTGTCTCTAAATCCCACATTTTAAAGCCGACCTTTCTGCTCTGCTCTCCCTCAAAGCCCCCGCGCCTGGCGAAATGTTTGTCACTCCAGACAGGAGGTGGCTGCATCTCAATGATGCTCAAGTGCCCCCGATGTCACCTGCTCACCGGCTCATTAAGCTTGCAAAGCCTTTGGGATTTGGATACACAAACCCTTCCATTCAGGTGGGGTTGCTCAGTCCCTCCTGCTTCCTGTTTGTGTTTAGCAAGACAAAAAGCAGGTGAGAACTTGCCCCAGAGCTGCTGCACCTGTGCAGGGGTTGTTGGGGAAGGTTTCTTAGCGAAATAAAAACTTGTGTTCCTGCAGGGCTTCTCTGCCTCCCTGTCCACCTCGAGTCACTTTCAAATTTTCTAGCCAAGTTTTGCCAGGAGGACTGAGGTTGGAAAAAGCTGATTTCCTGGGGTTTTGGGGAAAATAGGTGATTGCAAGAAAAAAATATTCTGCATGTGTCCTAAATCAGAGAGAAGAGCTTTGCCATCCACTCAACCCTTGGGATCAGAAAAACTGAAGAAAATCTGCCCCTTAATACCCTGAGATGGGGAAATCTCAGTGAACACACACAGCTGTGGGACACAGATTCATGGGAAATCATGTTTTCTTTTGGTGTCTAAGGAACTGTGTTTAAAAACAAGGGGGGAAAGGCAGTTTGTGAACTCCATTCACAGAATCACTGAGGTTGGAGAAGACCTGCACGATTGAGTCCAACCTGTGACTGACCCCAGCTTGTCACTGAGTGCCACATCCAGTCATTCTTGGGATACCTCCAGGGATGGGGGCTCCAGACCTCCCTGGGCAGCCCCTCCTTCTGCCTGTCCACCCTTTCCATGAAGAAATTCTTCCTGGTGTCCAACCTGACCCTCCCCTGGCACAATTTGAGGACGTTTCCTCTCATCTTGTCCCTGTTCCCTGGGAGCAGAGCCTGAACCTCCCAGCTGCCCCCTCCTGTCTGGGAGTTGTGCAGAGCCACAAGGTCCCTCCTGAGCCTCCTTTTCTCCAGGCTGGGCCCCTTTCCAGCTCCCTCAGCTGCTCCTGGTGCTCCAGCCCCATTCCCTGCCCTGGACACACTCCAGCCCCTCAATATCCTTGCAGTGAAGGGCCCAGAGCTGGACACAGGATCTGAGGTGTGGCTTCACCAGTGCCCAGCACACAGGGAAGGGTCATGTTCTGAAAGTCCTGAGTAACTCCTCCTCATTCTTCTTCCAGTACTGCCTGTCAGGACACCCAACCTTGCCATGCAACGTGCTCAAGTTCAAGTCCACCACCATCATGCTGGACTGTGGGCTGGATATGACGTCTACCCTCAATTTCCTCCCCCTGCCTCTGGTCCAGAGGTGAGTTCTGTGGCCTGTCAGCACTTAGTCTGCATCTTCTTGGGTTGCAGTTGGAGTGCTGTGCCT